CATTGAAGTAAGAAACAAGACAGGGATGCCCACTTTCCCCACTCCTGTTCAATATAATTTTGGTATTCCTAGCCAGGGCAATAAGACGAGAAAGAAATAAAAGGTATTCAAATAGGGAAGGAAGAAGTCAAACTATCTCTATTTGCAGATGACATGATCCTATACCTAAAAGACCCTAAAAATTCTACCAGCAAACTATTAGAAATCATACTTTTTTGGCAAAATGGCAGGATATAAAATTAATATACAAAAAACAATATCCTTTATACACCAACAATGAACAGACAAAGAAAAAAATCAGGGAAACAATCCCATTTACAATAGCTTCAAAAGAATAAAGTATCTTAAATTTTTTAAATTTTTGATTCATTTATTCACATGTGCATACATTGTTTGGGCCATTTCTCCCTCCGTCCCCCACCCCCTCCATCTCCTCCACACCCCTCTTGCTTCCAGGCAGAACCTGTTCTGCCCTTTTCTCTAATTTTGTTGAAGAGAAGACATAAGCATAATAAGAAAGACAAAGTGTTTTTGCTAGTTGAGTTAAGGATAGCTATACAGAGAGATACCTAGTGTTGCTTCCATGTACAAATGTGTTACATCCCAAGTTAATTCATCTCTAACTGACTTTTTCGCTCATTCCTGATCCCCTTCCATGTTGACCTCTGTCTCTTTGAGGTTTCTGTATTAGCTCCTCTATAGTAGGGGCATCAAACACTGACATTTTTTGGGTTTCCTACCTATCCCCAGCACCTCCCGTATGTGCTCTCCCCTTAACATGTGACCCAAGTCCAACAACATTGATGTATTTGCCCTAGATCTAAAGACCTCATATGAAGGAGAACATATGATTTTTGGTCTTCTGACCCTGGCTAACCTCACACACAATGATGTTCTCCAGTTCCATCTATTTACTTGAGAATAGTAAGATTTCATTCTTCTTCATGGCTGAGTAGAATTCCATTGTGTATAAGTACCACATTTTCTTAATCAATTCATCTGTAGTGTGGCATCTTGGCTATTTCCATAACTTGTCTTGTGAATATTGCTGCAATAAATATGGTGGGCAGGTGCCTCTGGAGTAACCTGTGTCGCATTCCTTTGGGTATATCCCCAGGAGTGGGATTTCTGGATCATATGGCAGATCTATGTTTAGATTTTAAAGAAGCCTCCATATTGTTTTCCAGAGTGGTTGCAGTAGCTTGCATTCCTACCAGCAGTATATGAGGCTTCCTTTTTCCCCACATCCATGCCAACACCTGTTGGTGGTGGTGTTTTTGATGATGGCTATTCGAACAGGGGTGAGGTGGAATCTTAGTGTGGTTTTGATTTGCATTTCCTTTATAGCTAGTGATGGTGAGCATTTTTTCATGTGGTTTTTGGCCATTTGAATTTCTTCTTTTGAGAAAGTTCTGTTTAATTCAGTTGCCCATTTCTCTATTGGTAAGCTGATTTGAGGAATATTTAGTTTTTTAAGTTCCCTGTATATTCTGGTTATCAGTCCTTTGTCTGATGTATAGCTGAAAAATACTTTCTCCCACTCTGTGGATGGTATCTTCAGTTTAGAGCCATTTCTTTTGTTGTGCAGAAGCTTTTTAATTTTATGAATTCCCATTTTTCCATCCTTGCTATTAGTTGCTGAGCTGCTGGGGTTCTATTAATGAAGTCTTTACCTATCCCTATTACTTCCAGAGTATTCCCTGCTTTTTCCTGTACTAACTTCATACAATGTTTGTGGGAGTGTAAATTAATACACCCACTGTGGAAAACAGTATGGGGACTCCTCAAAACCTAAAAATAGAACTACCATATGATCCAGCAATTCCACTCTTAGGAATATAACCAAAAGATCGTGAGTCTGGTTATAACAAAGATACCTGCACACCCATATTTATTGCAACATTGTTCACAATAGTCAAGTTCTGGAAACAACCAAGATGCTGCACTACTAATGAATGAATTAAGAAAATGTGGTTATTTATATACAATGGAATTTTATTTCACATATAAAATGAAAATTTATCATTTGCTGGTAAATGGATGGAACTGAAAACATCATCTTAAGTGAAGTTTGCCAGAACCAGAAAACCAAAGGCCACATGTTTTCTCTCATATGTGAGTATAAACCCAATACAAATACAAGCAATATCATATATACATAGAAATATGTACAGAACATGTATCCAAAAGTGGGACTGGTAAGGGAGACCAAAGGAGAAGGAAACAAAAGAAAGGAAGATAGTGAATAATAATGAAGCACAGCACATCTGTATAGGAAGAAGACACAAGGAAACATACTGAAAACTTTTATTAAACAACACAGGACAGGAGGAAACGGTGAGGAAGTACAGTTGAGGGGGGTTACACTAACTTAAGCACTACGCATAGATAGGTATACTACCCAGACAAAAATCCCAATGAACAATGAACAGACACTAAATAATAGGGGACAAGATGAAAAACAGGTCATATTAAGGGGAGGATACTAACCAGAGGCAGAGGGTAAAAGAAGGAAGTAAAGAAGGTGAATATGGTTGATGTACTTTCAATATAAGAATGAATATAGAAGTTTTAAATTTGTTGAAATCATAAGAAGACTAAGGTAGAAGAATATTGAGAGAGGATGTAAATTATTTTCTTAAATAAATAATGTTATGATTTATAATTCAGTGTATTTGTTTTAATACTTGTGGTAAGTACAATCTTGAAGATTTCCCAAAGGAAATGGGTCTCTGTTTCAGAATTCTCTGCAAAATCTTCAGTGATAGTATTTCTTGAAGGACCATGAAGAATTTAAAAGTACAATGAGATCTATTGACCTCTCAAATCATATAGGTACTACATATTCCTATTATATTTCCACAGTTATTGCAATGATGATTACCTCATAAACATAAACTCCTGAAGTGATAAACACCTAGCTAAAATGCCAGGACACAAGGTCGGAAAAATAGTTTCTCTGCTCAGAGGTGTTTTACCAATTCCTCAAGAGGTAGTCTTCAGCATACATTGCTCAGGTATTCCAGTCCCAGTGTCTGGTTGTCTATCCAGTAGGTAGAAGTGAAAGAATACACATGCAAAGAGGAATGAGAACAATTGGGACCATAGACTCGAAATCCACTGATTTTAGTCCTGAAGTAGAACTCTAATTATTATATGTTGGTGTTTAAAATCAAACTGAAGTGGAATGTGTTGTCCATAAAAACAGACAAATATATAGTAAGCAAATGATCATTTCCCATTTCTGGGAGGGTCTGCGGAGACTCCAATGAGACAAAGGATAAGAATATTCATGAAATGAAGGATAAGGTCTACATGAATACCTACCAGTAGGAGGAGAAAAACTGGGAAACAGCTGCTGTATAATTTATTCTTGAATGGATACACTGGGTAGTGAGGACAATACAGTAAATAAGACTATCAGAGAATTGTTTTAAAAAGCTGATTGGTTAAAAATATTCCCATACCAGTAAGGAAACTGCCTCTAGTGGTAGAACCCCTATCTAGCAAGTAGGAAGCCCTGGTTTCAAACCCCAGTATCACAAGAATAAATTAATTTAATTTAATTTAAAAGATATTCCTAATTGTCATACCAACTATTGTAAAAGAAGGAACCTAAAGGGGTGAGCCAACCTAACTCCCTAGGCAAAACAGAAAAGGAAAGCCAGAGCTCAAGATCAGGGCTGAATTTTAATCCCTAATATGACAATACACAGTATTTATCCAGTTATGAACTTAATCCAAGATGGTTTCTTTTGTTTGATCAAAATCTACTTTGGAACCTATGAAATTCCTTTTGGTAAGTTATACTTTCAGGAAAATACACAAGAAATGTTCAAATTGATGATATTGTATGAATTACATGTTATCATTGGCCATGACATCACTTCCAAAGGTCCAAAAACTTGTTCCTAGGGAATTGCAGAAATCTGAGAAGACATGATAGTTCATGGTACTCCAAAGCACAATTCTATACAACAAAATCTTGTTCCTTATTATTCCTTTTTCCTGTTGGGTTAGCACTGAGTCACTTGAGAAGCACTGACATTGTCTTCATGGAAAACAGGCAAAATATTTTCAAGAGGCAAAATATTTTCAAGACTAGAACTTGTGGTGAGGTTGTCTTTGGTTCATATGGGCTGCCATTGGCTCTCTTGTTGGCTTTGTTGATATCTGAGTCTCTGAGCTGCTGAAAATAAGTTAGGTTTACAAATTACAGTGAATAGTTTATAGTCTGTTGTATAATGTTACTAAAGTGTTTTAATAACACATTAATAATTTTGTGAAATACTTAAACAGAATTATTAACAGTCTTTGGACGAATAGCAGCTACTGAAGTTAAAAATTGTTTTTCCATATGAAACAAAAGTAAAGCAACTACAACAAAAGCTATGTGAGGAAAATAACTTAATTTTCCACTTTAAAACAGTCTGAATGCTTTTGAAGTACATCACTTTATCAATAAAATTATTTTGTACTTAGAAATTTACTTTCAACATTATGTGATACATTTTAATTTATATCTATGTAAATTAAATTAAAAGTCACTCTGAAAATTGTGTTACAAAATTAAAGATGAAAATATATTAAGCATAAGTGTTACCTTAAGTTTTATCTTTTTTAACTCTTCTTTTGACAAGAAGAGTAAACTTCACAGTTTTAATATGTATAGTAGAGGTGTAGACATGATATATAGATAAATATATAGTAAATATATCTAATTAAATTTAATAGAAATTTCAGCAAGAAAAAACATTTTTACAAAGGATTTGGATGAGGGGAGCACAGGAGGGAAAAACAATAATGAAAACCAAAATGCAAGTAGAAAATGCAAGAAGGAAGTAAAAGGAGAAGCAGAAAGTAAGGGGAGGGCAATCAGAAAATGGAACATGGAATGTTCCCTACTTAAGTCAACTGAGCACATCAGGTCTTCAGAGAACCTAGAGGCTGAGGTCCAGGTCACCCACCTCATCAGGGCAGCAGCAGCTGCAACATCCGCCATGGTCTTGCCCTTTGCTTTACTGGTGGCCCTGGTGGTGCTGAGCAGCAGATCAGTGTGTTCCCTGGTCTGTGACCTGCCACACAGCCATAGCCTTGGTAATAAGAGGGCCTTGATTCTCCTGGGACAAATGAGGAGAATCTCTCCTTTTTCCTGCATGAAGGACAGAAATGACTTCGGATTCCCCCAGGAGCACTTTGATGGCAGCCAGGTCCAGAAGGCTCAAGCCATCTCTGCCCTTCATGAGATGACCCAGCAGATCTACAACCTCTTCAGCACAAAGGACTCCTCTGCTGCTTGGGAGAAGACCCTTCTGCAAAAATTCTGCACTGGTCTCTCTCAGCAGATGAAAGACTTGGAAGCCTGTCTGACACAGGAGGTGGGGGAGGAAGAGCCTCCCATGATGCATGAGGACTCCACCCTGGCTGTGAGGAATTACTTCCACAGGATCACTCTCTACCTGGAAAAGAAGAAATACAGCCCTTGTGCCTGGGAGATTGTCAGAGCAGAAATCATGAGATCCTTGTATTTATCAGCAAACTTGCAGGAAGGATTAAGGAATGAGACTTGGTCCACCATGTAAATGGCTTTAGGGAACTAATACACTATATCTCATTTCCACAGCTTTGCAATAACAAAGACTGATTTCTGATGTAGCTGTGACATGAATTCAATCTATGTGTCAAATGATTTCTGGAGCATTAATGAACACACTGTTCAACTCTATAGCATTTATTTTTCATATCCATACAGGCATATTTATTTATATCTTTAACTGTGTATTTATATAAACATATATTGAAGTATTTAATATCCTGTGCAATATTGCATTGCATTATTTATGCATTGCCTTATATCACATAGATATAATATTTACATTATTTGTATTGTCTATATAATGTAGATATAATATATATTTAAGTATTTATATAATATCCTGTGCAACTTTACACTGCATTAGTTTAATAAAACATTTTCTTTATATATAATCACTTCATTTTGTTTTGTTCATAACATTTTACAATATAATATTTGGCATTCTTTATATTCTTTTAATTTTATGAATTTATTTTTAAATTTATACATAAAAACATAAACTTTGTATACAGGAAAGGATTACAATGTAACTTCAATACATATATACTTTGCATTACGTTTAAGTCATGGTAAACAAATTTTTCTCCTGTATCACTTTTCACTTCCTATGGTGAAAATCCTCAAAATCTCTTCCTCTAGCTTTTTTGAAGTGTGCAGTACATTATTATGTACAGTCACTATACTGTGCAACAGTATACTAGGGCATCTTGCTCCTGTCTAATTATAACTTATGTCCTTTGGTCAACTTTTTCCCATCCTTACCCTGCCTCTCACTCTGAGCCCTCAAATAAACACTCGTCTAACTCTCAACTTCTATGAAATCAATGATTTCAGATTCCACATGTGAGTGTGATCATTAGGTACTCTTCTGTCTGTACCTGACCTACTTCACTGAACATCATGACATCCATATCTATCCATGTTGCTGCAAATGCCAGGCTCTCATTCTTTTTATGGCTGAAAAATATTGCATGATGAGTATGTCCCACATTTTCTTTATCTATTCACCAGTTGATGGACCCTTATTTTGTTTCTGTTTTCTAACTACTGTGAATAGTGCTGCACAAACATAGGAGTGCAGATATCTCTTCCACAGACTGATTTCATTTTGTTTGGATATATACCCAGTAGTGGAATTGCTAGAACCTATGGCAGTTTTACTTTTGATACTTTCAGGAACCTCCATATTTTTCATCATTACATGCTAAATTCTTATTCCATCAATAGTGTGCAAGGATTCTCTTCTCCTTGGAGGCAATTGTGTTTAGTCATGTTGACAATTGCCTTTCTTAGTGGGGTGATGTGATGTGTTATTGTTGCTGTGATTTACATTTCCATGATTAGTAATCTTAAGCATTTTTCCTGAACCTGTTCACTGTTTGTTTCTTCTCTTGAGAAATGTCTACTGACATCTATTGCCCATTTTTTATTGAATTTGTTGGTTTTTTGCAGTTGATGTTTAGGAGTTCCTTATTCTGGTTATCAACTGCATATTAATTCATCCAAAAGAAATTCTATCCTGATTTTGCAAAGAATAATAGCATTACCAATTTGCCCATTATCATTATATTTAAATTACAAATAAAAATAGACATCCTCTAGGCCAAAATTATGTCATCTGCAAATAAGGACAGTTTGACTTCTTCTTTTCCTATTTGAATTCCATACATATCTTCTTGTTTTATTGCTCTGACTTATAATTCCAGGACCATGTTGAATAAGAGCTGAGAGAGAGGACACTCTTGTCTCATTCTTGGCTCTTGACTTTAGAGAAAATGGTTTCAGTTTTTCCCCATTTAGTATGATGTTAGCCATAGATTAGTCATATATAGCCTTTATTATGTTAAGGTACATTGCTTCTATTCTTAGTTTCATCAGAGCTTTGATAATGAAAGGATGTTGAAATTTGTTGAAGGCTTTTTCTGCATCTATTGAACTAATGATGTCATTTTTATCTGTGCTTCTGTTAATAGATTGTATTATGTCTAATGATTTGCATATGTTGAACCATCCCTGCATCCCTGGGATGAAACCGATTTGATCATGGTTTATTATCTTTTTGACATATTGTTGAATTAGGTTTATCAATATTTTATGGAGGATTTTTGCATATAAGTTTATTAAAGAGATTGGCTATAATTCTGTTTTTTTATTGTGTCATTTTCTGTTTTAGGGGTGAGCATAACACTGGTATCATAGAACGATTTAGGCAGTGTAATCTCCCTTTCTACTTCATGGATAAGATTGAGGAGTGTTCATATTACTTATTGTTTAAGGGTCTGACATAATTCCACATTTAATCCTTCAGATTCTGGTCTTTTCTGTTTTGGGAGACTGTATTGCTGCTTCAATTTCATTGTTTCCTACAGATATTTGTAGGTAATTTATGTTCTTTAGGTTCAATTTTGGTTGGTCATACGTGTCTGGAAATATGTCCATTTCTTCTAGATTTTCCAATTTAACTGAACATAAGTTGTCAAAGTAATCCCTAATGATTACCTGGATTTCATTGGTGTTTGTTGTGGTATCTCCTTTTTTGTTTCTAATTTTATTAAGGTGGGTCTTTTTCCTCCTGATTTTAGTCAGATTTGCTAACCTTATTTATCTTTTCAAAGAACCAGCTTCTTTTTGTCTTGATTCCTTGTATGTTCTTTTTTATTGTCTCTATTTCAATTATTTCAGCTCTTATTTTTATTTATCTTCTAATGCTAGTTTGGCTTTATCTTGTTCTTGTTTTTCTAGTAGTTTGAGATGCAACAATAGGTTGTTTATTTGAAGTCTTCCTGTGCTTATAATATAAGTATTCATGGCTGTAAACTTTCCTCTTAGCACTGCCTTTGCTGTGTTACATCAGTTCCAATTGATTATGCTTTCCTTCTTATTAAATTCCAGGAACTTTCTGATTTCCTCCCTTATTTCTTTGATGACTTCATGGAGCAACATGTTGTTTAGTCACCAGGTATTTGAGTATTTTCTCCTGTTTCTTTTGTAATTGAGTTCTAGTTTTATGCCATTGTGGTCAGATAGTATGCATGAGTTTATTTCAATTTTCTTATAAATGTTAAGACTTGCTTTGTGACCTAAAATATGTTCTATTTTGGAGAAAGTTCATGGGCTGCTGAGAAGAATATATATTGTGTTGTTATAGGATGGAATACTCTATAGACATTGGTCAGGTCATACAATTCTAAAGTTTCTTTGTTGACTTTTTGTCTGAATGACCTATCTATTGGTGATAGAGGAGTACTGAAGTCTCCTACTATCACGGTGTTGGGGTCGTTTTGTGTTTTTAAATCCAATAGTGTATGTTTGATGAAGTTGGGTACACTGACATTAGGCACATGTAAGTTAATGATTTTTATTTCTTCTTGGTGTATTGCAAATATTATTAGTATGTAGTGACATTCTTTGTCACTTCAGATTAATTTAGATTTGAAGTCTACTTTGTCTGATATAAGTATAGTTACTCCTGCCCTGTATTCAGGGGCCATTAGCTCGGTAAATCTTTTTCTCCCCTTTCACCCTAAGCCAATATTTGTTTCTGTCTGTAATTGGGTTTCTTGTAAGCAACAACTCCTCAAATATTCCTTTTTAATCCACTTAGTAAGAAATTTTTGAAAGATGGAAACACCTGTCACCACTCTGTTTATCAGAACCTGGTAAAGCACAACACATGGTCATATTTGAAAGTCACTGTTAGTAAGAGAAAATGTAAGAATATTGTATGTTAAAGATTGTATTTGTGTAATTGTTATGAAGTCTGTGAAATTTATAAATCTGAAAAGATAAAGAGCTTTCTCTCAACAAAACTGTCAAATAGGCCTAACAATGCTTACTCAAGGAGACAAATCCAGAGAACAAAGGAGGCAAAAAGACCTCATGATAAGAGGTGAGCTTTTGTTTTTAGAAGATCACTATTTACCTGGGTTTGACTTTATCCTAGAGACTTTTCTCATTGACATACTTAAACCCATTGCTTGAACAACTGAAGTTTTTTAAGAAAAATTAAACTCAAATTTTAAAACAACAGAAAAGATTAATTCTATTATTTTTTGTCCTGTAAGGTTTGAACTCAGGTGTTTGTGACATCTGGGCAGGAATTCTTACCACTTGAACAACATACCCAGCCCCTTTTTCTCTAGTTATTTTGGTGATAAGGTCTTTGTTATGCTTGGCTTGTGCTGTCTATTTATGCAGCTTGAAAGGCTCACACTAACAGGTTCAATCATTGCTTGAGATGTGGGTGTGGGGATGTCTCACAAACTTATCAATATTTAAGAGAAAAAGTAAAGTTAGGTGAAAACACGCTTTTGAAATAAAAGATTATACCACAGAACCCACAAATAGCAGTCAGAAAACAAGAGAATATGTAATTTTTAGATTAAAATATGTCAGAATTTCAAAATATGAGACTTATTAATTGATTAAAACATACAATATAGGATTCTACATTAGATTCTAGACTCTGCCAACCCATATATTTGATCCTCGGTAATTCATTTAACTTCTCTGAGCCTCAGTTTTCACAAATGTAATGTAGAGTGGACATATTCATATAGTTATCCATATCAAACACTCTAAAACTTTTAGAAGCCCTTAGCAGAGTATCTCCTCATTCCCTGTGAGTGAGGGATAAGAGATTGTCACTATTCTCTTATTTATTCCTAAGGACCTGTATGTCAATAGGGAACTCCCCTATTTCTCTGATGGTAAAGTGCAAGCAGTAATATAAATTATAACAACTACTATGGAAATCTAGTAACACTAGAAGTGTTATATGATACAGCAATACTACCACTCCTGATAATAAATCAGAAGGAATGTAAGTCAGGATATAATAGAAACACTTGCACACCCATGTTTATTATAGCACTATTCACAATAACCAAGCTATGCAAATAACCCAATGCCATAAGACTGATATATATAATTCAGCCATAAAGAAAAACAAAATTACGTAGTTTGCAGCTAAATGGATGGAACTGA